TGCAACCCTAAGATAGACAAGATAAACTTGTCATCGGTGACGGAGGCGCTCTGTGCGCCTCATCCTCCCTTCCCAACAAAATTTGACTTACTCATATTTCACTTTCAAACGACTGACGTTCGGTTAAACTGAAAAAAGAAGAGCGAATGAGGGTAGTGATTCGTGAAGAAAAAGGTTTTGTGTGCATTGCGTTAAGTCCCACTCCTTTCGGCTAAAGAAAAATATTATACATCCACGCTAGTTCACAACCACATTCTTATCGTCATAGAGGTGGTTCATGAGTTACATCTCTTGTCACATCTTAGCGCAAAGCCGCTTAACCCTAGCGGAATGCAGTTATTGCCCATGGATATGCACTGCCAAGTTCACGTTGCAGAAGATCCATCGCCGACTAGCCAAAGTTTAATCATGTGTGTGTTGTTGATCACCTCGTCGTATGCTTATTCATCACCTTTGAGGTGGCCGCACGTGTGACAGTGTGAGAGAGAAGCGGGTTTCACTAAAATCTGACAAAGCGTTGGCGCCTCTTCAACCTCTCTCGCGTCAAAAACAAGTGGGACCCAAGCCACGTCAAAGATCGAGCCAAAGTGGCATCTTTTGTCTCTAGGGCATTTTATGAGTTAGTTGACTAAATTGCTCCTCAAAGGCGAGTTATATACAGATGATGTCTTTTATCACAGTAAAATTTAAATTTTTGTGGAGCACGAAAAGCAAGGAATAGATACTATATTGTCTACCAGTACGTCTTTTACCATGTTAGTGAGATATGCACGGCTTTGAATATGAAGTTGGTCTCTAGTCAAATGGGTAGAGGTACAACCATTCCATTAAACCCCAAACAAGAATTAAAACATTTAAGAAAACAAGTCAAATTTTTAAGAGCTCTAGTCTACATGCAAAATTTGGAAGAAAATGTAGGCCGTAAACGGCATGAACACGCAAAGTAGAGTTACTAATGATTGCACTTAACTTCTCTCTATACTATTGATAAAAGAACACAGTTTTGATTTTCTTTGTTAGGCAAGCTTAGCTTTGGCTTCCGGTTCTTTTTTTAAATATACGCTTAAACCCCTAACTTCTAAGACCAGGTAGATGAGATCTCTCATGCCACTCAAAGCGGTTGGATTGGCTGGAGACACATTAGTGTTTTTGCATGTTGTAGCAGCCTAGCATGAAACATAGAAAAAGAAAACATAAGAAAACGAATTTTAATAATTAATAGAACTAAAGTCTTGTTTTTACTAAAAAATACAAAATCTTTTTAAAAGTCAAGCAAAATGTTGAGTATTTTTTCTAAACGTACTTCCTATAGATGGTACCAACAACATATGGGTCTTGCTAGAAACGAACAAGAAAAATCACAAGTAATATCGAGAAACGGGGAATTGGAGGATTGTTACAAATATTTTGCGAGTATTCATGATAATTTGCCTTGTTTCATGATGGTCCATGAATGCTCCTAATAATATATTATTATTTTTACTTTTTGGGATTTTCCAATAATTGCCTTCAGATGTTGATTTTCCTCAAATTTGAGCGGATTCTAAATTTGATTATCCAATTCACCGTTCATCTTTAACGTCCTTTTCATTTTATTTACTTCTTTGTTGACCAGACCGTCACGGACTCAAAACTACCGCCGCTTCCCCCGGTAACACCGCCTTGAAGTCGAGCGAGGAACCAACTATATCCGGCTTTCTTTCGAAGTCGGAACTCAAGTTTGGTTTGAAATTCATGGACCTAAGCAAAGACTTGAAAAACAGTTCACTGATGAAAGATATGGACTTAAACATAGATGCATGCA